GCGCGCAGAGCTCAGCCCGGGAGCACCGCGGCCTCTGCGCCCCAGCACAGCTTCGACTCCAAATGGGCCAGGAAGGACTCGCTGCCCCACCTGCGGGACTCATGGCAGGCAGCTTCAGAACTGTGGTTGAGGGTTTGTTTACTAGGCTGAGCTCTCGGGAGGCGGAATCTGCAGGAAACTGTTCCTACATAAATGACAAGGCTGTTTTCCAAAGCACAAAACAAGCTGCTGGGTAGGCAGGGGTTGTGTTCCTTGGAGCCCATGAGCCAGGCCCTGAGAACGACTGTGGTTTATTAGCTGTCATGCAGCTTAAAGCCAGCCTCCTCCTCCTCCACCCTCAGAGGATGTGACTGTCTGGTATACAGATGAAAACGGATTATTTATGCCCTGACAATGTAAACGAACACCCCCATCTAAATGCTGGCTTTTCCGAGCCTTCCTAATGCCTAAAATGAGCAAACTGTTTCACAATCACGTACTAACACTTCTGTACCAACACAAATACTTCACAGAGCACAAACCAAACTAAAGATTGTGTTTGCCTATATTCCTGCATACAAAAAAGGTTGATGACCACAGAAGACAAAGGAAAATAAAACTACTAATGACACCAATTCACATTGATAAATTTCAAAATTTTTTAAAGGACCTGACCTTAATAACAGATAACATTTGTTGCAATGAGCTATTTTATATCGTAGACAAACTATTTCAATAAGAGTTTACCATGCTTCTCTATGCTGACAACACACTATTTCATAGGCTTTCTAATATTTAGTGGAATACTTCACCGGAAAGCAAATTTTTAGAGCAAACTGATAATCAGATGAAAATGAAGATCTCATATTACATATATACAGTTCATATTTATATGAAGTATGTATTCGTAATTTAGAGTTTTAATGTTTAACTCGGTTTAAGCAAGTATTGGTGAATTTTAGGGGCGTAAATTTTGCAGAGATCCTTTTTCATAACAGTTAAAAGAGAATACAAAATTTTAGGAAGAGAATTGGAAACCCCCCCCCAATATCTCACTATTCACTCAATACCCATCCCCCTCTGGGTCCTGACATCATGTTAGGAGATTCAGCAATATTTCTGAAGTTGTATACCCTAACTAGCTGAATTTGGATGTCTCTGAAATGTTCCTAAGTTGTTAGACATAAAAATTTTAAATCTGTTTAAACTCTTAAACACCAACTAAGACCACCTAATACTAAATTCATAGTATCTTGGCTTCATAACATACATACTAACTTGACTAATGACATCATAGCTTTAAGGAGTAGCATGTCAGACCTAAGTGAAGGCAGAGTCCTCCGAAGCAGATGTGTATGGTGTTCACTCCTTCAAGGAGAAAAAGGGCTTTGCTCACAACATAAAAGCAGCCTAGCATCATGAACAGCACCCAGTCTCTCAACCAAACCTGCCACTGTTGCATACTTTGAACAATTTCTCTAAAATTGCTACACTAGGGTAATGGTGTAAAATATTAGAAAAATATTAATAACAGAATGATCCTAAATGGATTTCTAAATCCTAAAGCAAGAGCTTTAGACAGACTCCTTGGTGAGGAAAGCCACACATACCGTACATCTGTAATTATGTGGCTCTAAATACCACTACCATGGACTTCTTTGCTGCTTCAAGCCTTAAGGACACCTTGACATATTTCAGACACTAGACTGTGGCAACCACTGAAGGCAGGTAACACTTTATACTGAAAGACAGCATCTCTGAGGTATTTTCCCTAGATCTCATTGCTGCTAAGTGCTAGAGGAAAGACTTCAGATGCTAATTCCCAGTCTGTTTCTTCCAAAAGAAAATAATTCACAACACTTGTCTTCAAAGTCAAATGCTAAAGCAATGGGCATGCTTATGATTTTAATTAATTATCCGGAAAGGCACTGTTATGGAATTGGCTTGAAAATGCATTTTAAAAAACAAAATTTACAAATACCTGTGTAACAAGAACATGAACTGTATTGATTCCATCCTGCATGCTAATAGGAAGTTTTAAATATTTTTCATTAATATTTCCCTACTTTCATTATATGGCCCCCATCACCTTTCTCAACAAATACCCATACACAAACCTCATCTCCTTCCTGGGGTCTCATCAAGGACACCCGGTCATACTGCTTCAAGATCAAGGCCCAGAGTGCATCCAGACGACCCTAAAGAGATATTAGATTTATGAAATTGTGTAACTTCATTTCATCATTTAGTAAGTTAGTAAATACAAAATCTCGAAGGTTCTTAATGCTAAGAAAATAAGCAGTTGCTAGAGCACAAAATGAGTACCTGCTATTTGATCTGCCTTAGTCTTCCTTGAGGTCAGGAGAGACTGTAAAAGCTAGATTTAAGATATATCACACAAAATGCAGGCAAGTACCTTAATTGGCGTGTACCACTTTGTCTGAGGGGTCTGGTGTGTGGGTTTGGGTCGAGGTGGTCTCGGTGGGACGGGTGTCTCTTCTTCGGGGATCATCACCACAGCATTTTTTGCTTTCTCTAGCCTTGCACCTTCCTCAGTAGATCCTTTATCTCCCCAGCGGACCTTTAAAATGAAGGAGACACTGCTGTCAGACAAAATGTCCTGCAGGAGCAGGCTGTTAGGTGACCCACAGGCCTTTGAGTCATCAGTCCAGCGTAAGAAGATGAATTGCCATACTGACATCCAGCTCCTTTTCTTCTGCATTTTAATGGGTTCCTTTCCACTCATTGTTGATTTGCCTGTGTGTATATGTATGGGTGTATATGTAAATGTCCATGTGTGTTTGGATTCATATGTGTGTGGAGGCCACAGGTCAACTTCAGATGTCATTCTTCAGGTGCCCTTCATCATGTGTTTTGAGACAAGGTCTCTCTCACAGGGATCTGGAGCTGGCCTATTAGAATAGACTTGTCTTGACAGGACAATCCAGGGATCTTGGTTTCCTCATCATAACCCAAATGCAGAATAACTCTTTGTAAATATGATGCCACGCAAATCTAATGGTTTGTAATGGTTTCTCCATTATTTCAAATACGGAGACAATTTGTGTTATACGTAGATTATGTAAAAACCAGTTCAAGATATGCTACAACGCACCATATGTCATCTCAGCGAAGGAAAAAGTTTAAAGCCACTGACCTGGATTGTTAAGCAGGAAGACGGATGGTTACATTTCATAGAAATAATGGTGCAAGCATTTGGACGAAGCTATTTTGATAGTTCTACACACACACACACACACACACACACATATTTTTACTACAATTTTAGAATAGTTTTCAATTTCAAGTGGACCCTGCTTAGTCATTGAAGTAATCTGTATCTTTCAATTTGATCAATGGCTAGAGTGTTCTTTGTGAGGCTGTTAAATTTGTTTGAAACATATTAAACCTTTAAGGCTAGATAGCTGGGCTATCTAGGAAGAGAGAAAGAAAGCAAGAAAGAAAGGAAGGAAGGAAGGAAGGTAGGAAGGAAGGAAGGAAGGAAAGATAAACATCTTTTTTTCAGATCACAGTCTTGGCCTAGATAAGCCAAGAATGAAATCTTTAGACATACTAATTGAATTTAAAACGCTAAGATGAGTATACACTTCTTGCAGCTGAAACATCTCAATTTTAGGGAACAAAACAAAAGAGACAGATGGTTTAATAAACACATGGATGCCACAACTCAGAGAAATAATTCCAAGTAAAGCAGTAAACAGATACACTTTAGATCCATTCAGAAAGGGTAGATTTTGAAAACAAATAGCTCCTCAGCCCGACCTTCACAGTTGAAACCATAGAGATCATGATAATTAGACAAATATCACTGGAACCATTCTCAGATTTTAAGTGAAAGCTGGTTGAACTAGAGTTCTGATCCAAGGTGACATTCCCAGGCTCTAAGGATTATACATGTGGCCCTCAGTCATGGAGGCCTAAGGAGTTTAATAAGTTTTCTGTCTTTATTTCATGAAAAACTTCCTAGTTATCAACCTTCACCAAATACAAGTCTCACTTAATCTCAAGGACTAAAACTAGAAGATACCTTGTAGAAGTTTCTTGCAACTCTACAAAGGAATTAAGTGTGTGTGTGTGTGTGTGTGTGTGTGTGTGTGTGTGTGTGTGTGTGTGTTAACGTTTTGAGTTGATCACATTGAGATGCCCTAAAAGGTTGGAAGAGAGAAGAACAAAAATAGACAACTAAAGAAAGTCTCATTGGAGTTTGTCCCTAGCTTTATTTCATTATGGGGAAACAATGGGTAAGTACAAGCTTCAGAGCTGAATTCTTCCAATTCCACATGGTTTTCATTATCAACAATGAGTTTCACAATTTCTAGAGCATATTTGGATAACTCAGAGTCTATATAATAAAGGAGCAATTTCAGAATTTTTAAAAATTTGTTTCACGAGAAATTGGCAAAAACACCCGTGTGAAGTTATTAGGAGTTGTAGTGGATCTGTTATGATAGCAGCTGTTATTAAAAGCTCTGCTCCTGCTTTCTGCAAACTCCATCAGAGGGCAGTTTAAATAAATATTTAAATTAAAAGAGTGAGCTTTGTAAAATCCAAAGAAAAGTATCCATTGTGACTTAATCTAGCCTTAGCTCTGAAGGCTTGTTCTCCAATTCTGATGACCTCAGATTGTCTATAATTCATTTACTTTCTCTAGCTTTGCATGTATTAGAGATGAGCTTATAAAAGCATTGTGGATGATTTTGCCACTCCAGTTATAAATTCACAGTAGAGAAATTTTAGTATCACTTAATTCTCAACTCAGTCTTATTTCGTATATTTCTATACTGAATTTCTTCCTTGTATAAGTATCTCTGCTTTCTTTGTCATTTTAAGATCCATTATCATCCCATTTACCATCATATCAATAGAATATTCCAGTAATGTAGACAAAACTTTCCAAGATTAATGGACATAGACTCAATGGAGGTTGACTCATTCTTTTTCAAAATTTTTCTTCAACTAAAAAGGATGAGCAGGTGATGCAATTTCACATGCTGCAATCCGAGGACTCTCGAAGTTTGAATTACAGGCTACTGGGCATAAAATCCACGTGCTTTCTAGAGAAACTGCTGCAGTTTGGATATGGAATGCCCCCTGAGAGCCCATGTATTAAAGTGTTGGTCATGGGTGTGGCTCTTTTGGAAGGTGAGAGCACCTGTAAAAGGTGAGACCCGGGGGTAGGTCTAAGAGTTAGACCTTTGCAGGCTCTGCTTCTAGACAGCATACCAAGCTGTTCTTTCTCCTGGTTTGCTCCCACCTGCCCATGGTAGTCAGTGTGTGCTCCCAAATGCTCCCTGGAACGATGTTCTGCCTGGACACAGACCCCAAACCAAGAAGGCTTACAAACCACAGGTTAACACCCCAAGCCAAAATAAAATTCCTTTTTTGTAAGTTGGTTTATCTAAAATATTTGTAACAAAACCTGACTGATACATAAAATCATATTCCTTTTTACCAGAATCCATTCATGGGTTCATGTTGCTGCTTCCTTTGGAAAGAATCTCAATCTGTGGATTACTAGACTAACAAAAATTAGTTCAACATAGTAATTGATAGTAGCATTAACTAGTAGCAGCAACTAATAGTTGCTAAGTGGCAAGTAAAAGCTGTTGATATCTTTAAATGTGCCTCTTCTATATTTGTGATAAAGTCCTATCCATGCTGTTGAATATTTAAAAGTTTGCCCATCAAATAGTAACTAACTATTGGGCCTTTTCAAAGAACAGCATTGTTGCAACTGTGAGTGACCAGCATTCTTAAAGTTGATGTAGTAACTTTTTCCAAACGAGTGGGGAAACCCATAATTATTTTTATCCTTAGGTTCCAGAAATCTTCTCAATGTAGTCTTTTGACTGATAAAGGCATTATTCTTTGCCAGCTCTGACATGGCTAGGATGATTCTACAGAAATGAGCCCCCAGAGAAGACCCAGTGCTGACCTAAGAGGGGTGGGATTATAGAAAGCACAGTGTCTGTGGCTCAATAACCCTACAAATACACATTTTACATTAGCACTTTCTATTTCTTTAGGAGACCAACCTCCATTCTTTTAATTCCTCCAACTCCTCGACCACCATAATAGGACGCATCCACAGTCGGCCATTTCTTGTTGGGCAAAGGCTCTTCTTCCTCCTCCTATAAAGATACAGTTTTAAAAAGTGGATTTAATTAATTTTTAAAAATGTTGTCTGGTCAGAGCTGAATCACATTGAGATGTTTTAAATAATTCCATTGTTATGAGAAAATGTAAAAATTATACATGGGATATATGGGTGTATTTATAATCACATACATCAATTTCAAATGCAGTTCTGCAGAGGGTAAGACACCTTCCCTTTAGCAGATTCTCCCTACATCAGGCCTAGGCAAACAGAAGTTGCTTATTTTAACTGTGAGTAGTGTGTCTTTAACCAAGCATATTCATCAATTTAAACTTGAAAAGATTATTCAACTTAGGGCAACACTGTAACAATTATTTCACGTGTCAATATCCTTGAAGTGTGAAATTCATATTAAAGAAGCTCTAAAAATGCACAATACCAGCACATTCCTTACTTTATGTTGCTAGTATGATGCTAGCTAACAGAGAAATATAATAGCAAATTATCACTTTGAAGAAAGTAATGGCATCTTTGAACTGTCAGCTTGGATATTTCAACAATTCTGATGAGTGTCATCAGAACTATTAATATATTATTATGAAATATATTAAATCTCTATGTACTTTTGATCCTGTACCCAGTCTACTAATGAAGGGCTCATTCTACCACTGAAGGGCTCATTCCTCTACTCCATAAAATAAATCATAACATAAAAAGTGTCAGTTGGTTTTCACAAAGTAAAAAGGAGATACTTAGATATAATATAAATAGGATTGGTCTAATTTTGGAATGATAATTACATATGAAACTAAAACAACTCCATATCACTTTACTGGGCATTCACTTACCTCTTTTGGTGCAGAAGGTGGTGGAGGAGGATCCTTGATAACCTGCCCCAAAATAAAACAGAGTAAGATGAAAAACTTCCATAACATAAGAAAAAGTAAGAATGTGTAAAAAAAAAATGGCTACTGTGGTAACTCTAGAGATAAGGGATTAATATTTAAAACAAAATGTAGTCAAATGAAGGTGACTTAAGGTTATGAACTATATATCCCATTAATTTAGAAAGGAATACTTTGTATCATTACTAAACTACATATCCAGTGAAATCCATATCAGCATTTCACTCAGTAAGTTCAAAGCCAATCCCACCTTTCTTTTCAATGTTCTAGTAGTTCACTCTTTTCGGACACAGACTACAAATGCTGGCATAACCCATAATGTCTGTTTTTTCTAAACAACTTCTCCATATTCTTTCCTGAACCAAGGGATTCTTTGACATTTTTCTCTAACTTCTCCCCCTCCCCTGCCATGAATTTCTGTCTTCCCAAAGCAGATTATAATTTCTGTGATATTTACAGATGCCTCTCTCCTCTTCCCAACACTTATAGAGTTCTTTATTATTATTTTATCTAGCTTTTAAAACAAATCCCCTTGCAAGTGTCAATATACATTTCACATGGGCATTGCCTTCACTGTGTCTTCCACTGTTTAGCAGAGTGGGTCTGGTATAAAATATGCTTTCTATGATGTAAGGCAGGAGGGAAAATGGGAAGCTGGGAAGAGAAAAAGGTGAAATGGCTGGGAAGAGGGAAGAAAACAAGGAGGAAAGGGGGAAGGAAGAAGGAAAACAGGAGGGAAAGAGGGTAGGAGGGAGGAACTACAGAAAAAGGAAAGGTAAAGAAATAAGAAAGGATTATTTTTTATTCCATTCCCACTATCACAGCCCAAAGTCAAGGACTTAGAGTTCTATGAACTTTAAAGATGTCAAAAACATTTCCCAACTCATGCAAGGTAGGCACAACTAAAACTTCAATATTCTAAAACTTCCCCACCTAGTAGTGGTTCCAATATGTCTGGACTACTGCAATAGAGAAATTCACCATTTGATAGAGCATCATTTGACTGGCAAGGAACTCATCATTTAAAAGCCCCCCTCCCCAAAACTGAAACTAAAGCTTCTCTGTCTTACAGTTTCCACTCTTCAGCCCTGATCCAGGAATCTGGAAAATGTGAGCTTTTACACACACACACACACACACACACACACACAGAGAGAGAGAGAGAGAGAGAGAGAGAGAGAGAGAGAGAGAGAGAGAGAGACTTTTTCTTCCTAATGAAGATAAATTCTTGGTTTTGGAGGCTACACTAAATACTACCTTTCTATTGAGATTATATTTGGGAACTAAAGGTATTTTAATAAAATTGTTGTGAGTTACCTGGGTTATTTTGTTCATTTTCTTTAATATATATTCATTAGTCAATATCCTGACTACAGTTGCCTTAACCCAAAATAATATTTTTTAAATACAGTTCAGCAGTTAAACTCAATGGTGTTTGGACAAAGCAGTTGGGACCTCCTGATTCCTTGCTTCTTCTCAGCATTTTAATTGATGGGTTTCAAAAAAGAGCAAATGAGGTTAGTAGGGGAAAATGGTGAGAGTGATAGAAGAGAAATTTGAGGGGAGCGATCAGGAGTGGTAGATTTGATCAGAACATATTATATGCATGTGTAAAATGCTCAAACAATAAAAGAACAAAAATGGAAAATAATGATACTAATATCCATGCTATTGATAGTCTATCATTTCATCTTTCACCAGTGGTTACATGTGGTGATATCTTGCTTGTACAAATAAAGCTTGTCCAAAGATCAGAGGATAGAACTTGCCACTAGCTAACCACAGAGGTCTGTACAGACAGACAGGAGGTGAGGTGGCTGGGATGAAGAGGATATAAGCTGGAAAAAAACAGGAACTCGCTCTCTTTTCTGCTGGAAAGCTAATGTGGTAAAGGTGGCAGTGGCTTGCTCCTTCTCTCTGATCTCTCAGCATTTTCCTCTATATGTGACTCTGGTTTTTTGTTTGTTTGTTTTAGAACTCCATTTACGGTTACATGCAATCCTTGTGGTAAAAAAAAAAAAAAGAAAAGAAATATAGCTTATTTCACTACCTTTAGCGAGTCTTTGTTTATATTTTTAGTGAGGGGGGCAGTTTCAAGACAGGATTTCTCTGTATGGCTTTGCAGTCTGCCCTGGAACTCTGTAGACCAGGCTGGCCTTGAACTTCTCTGCCTCCTGAGTGCTGGGATTAAAGGCATTAGCCACCATGGCCTGGCCTTGAATCTTTATTTTAACTTGTGTAATTGGGTCAGTATTCTTCTACTATAAGCTTAATCAATCACTTCCCCAGTCAAAATGGACTCAACGTTCCAATTCTCACAGTTCAAATCAAGAAATCATTGAATTTTATTGTAAGGACTTTGGAATTTATGTCTCTCTTACATCTTACATGTGTTCTCTTACTAGAGAAATATAAAAATACACCATTCTTTTCCACAGAGCATGAACATATCTGGAGATCACTTTTACTTTGTAACAAAGATTTCAAATTTACTCTTATAACGTGTACATCTTACATAGATAAATAAAAAATAATATGAATAGAATCTCTAGCATTTTTCTTTGTCATATCATCCTGGTTATTACTGCACACTCCCTCCAAGAATTCTTCCTTTTTGTTTCATATGGACCATCTCTGTGAGAGCTAATAGAGGAAAATTAAGTTTCAATCTGAGATCCTTCTGTAAGGCAGCAGAAATTGGCTCAGGAGTTAAGAGCAATTACTGCTCTTGCAGAAACCCCAGATTCATTTGCCAGAACTCACATGGTAGCTTGCAACCACCCATAACACCCGTTCCAGGGGAGCCAATGCCCTCGTTTGACTCCTCTGGACTCCTATATGCATGTGGCACACAAACATAAACTCAGGCACACACACACACACACACACACACACACACACACACACACTCACATAAAATAAACATATATTTAAAATCTTTATGTAGTTACTTCTGTCAGACTCACACAGGACAGGGAGTACCTTTGTGTGTTTTCATTTTCCTGGAAAGCCTTTTCTTAGCATAATCTGTAATGTGGAGACATCAAGCTTCTTTGGGGTACCTCTACATGCTCCAGCTGCTCTGTTGTCATTGTCAGATGCCTCAGTGTAATAGATTATCAGTTTCTACACAGCTCTCCTCCAACATTCTCTCTATATGTATCTAACTCCAATAAGATGGATAATCCTCCTACTCCCTTCAAATATATGGACCAATAGTATTTTGGGTGATGATCAAGCTCCAAGCTAGTAAGTAAAATATTGATGAAAATGTGAAAATAGCACAGTAAGAATTCTATAATAGTAAAATATTGCTAATTTCAATGAAAATGAAAAAATCAGTTTTCTCTGTCAACCCATGAATTCAGAGAACTGGGTCAATTTAACAGCAATTAGAAAGATCATCTCAATTTTCTACATCTAGGAAATAAGTTGGATTAATATTAGGTCCTCCACACATGAAAAGCCTAATCAGATAATAAAATACATACAACACAATGTTTCTGATAGTTTTCTTTTGTTTCTATGCTTTTCCACAATTGCATATGGACATGTGTGTGCCTGTGCCTTCTATTCATATAATTCAATAAAGAATCTTTCAGAGGTAATTTTTTTCAGTTAATATTAAATTAACTATGTTCATGACCTTTTATAAATTTAAAGATATTTTGAAGTCTGGAGGTATATGCAGTTAACAATGAAAATAAAGCCTTCAATGATTTTGTTGAATATGTTATACTGGACAGGAGAGAACAGGAAGATAGAGTCAGGGGAAGAATAGAGGAGAGCAAGAAAAAAGGTACAATAATAAAGGGAGCCATTATAGGTTTAAATAGATATCTGGCACTAGGGAAATATCCAGAGATCTACAAGGTTGATGCCAACTAACAAGCTAAGCAATAATGGAGAGGCTACCTTAAAAGCCCTTCCCCGATAATGAGATTGATGACTACCTTATATGCCATCCTAGAGCCTTCATTGATGGAAGCAGAGGCAGACACCCACAGCTAAATACTGAGCTGAATTTTGGAATCTAGTTTCAGAGAGGGAGGAGTGATGAGCAATGGGGTCAAGACCAGGCTAGAGAAACCCACAGAAGCAAATGACCTGAACAAGGGGGAAATCTCATGGACCCCAAACTGAGAGCTGGGAAACCAGCATAGTACTGTTCCAGATCCCCTGAACGAGGATGCCAGTTTGGAGGTCTGGTTAATCTATGGGGCCACTGGCAGTGAATTAGTATTTATCCCTAGTATGTGAATGGACTTTGGGATCCCACTCCACATAGAGGGATACTCTCTCAACCTAGAATAAAAATTTTTAAAAAAAAGAAAAGAAAGCCTTATTGTTCTACCTCTATGGAATGCCAGTCTACTGAGATAAGAGACACAACCTCCATCACAACAAATGACAGGAATCCCTAGGACAGGACTCAGAACTGAGGTTGGACTGTGTTCTTCTTAGTGACAGTAACTGTCCTTCACTTGTGTTGCCATGTGGCAGACACACTGTCCTCTTTTATTTTCATAGCCCTGTAAGATTAGTATGCTGATGTCCATTTTAAGCACAGCAAAAAGAATCCGAACAACCTCTAATTACACAGCTCTCCAAGTACATATGAAGATAAAAGACAGAATTAAAATCCAAATCCATCACTTAGAACAATCTAATTCCAAACCTTGAGTTTAATGCCATTGAATGAGATAGATACTTTTAAAATAAAGGTTGAACTGACAATGAAAAGCCTTTGGAAGATCATCTGGTTGCCAAGCAGTTGTTATTGGGATGGATGGATGAATGTAATCATAGATGATAGAAAATTAGAGTTATATAAAGTATATGCTTGACATGGGCTTTTATACCATTTCAGAGAAGCAGTGCACATCCAATATTATGCCCAACATCACTTACTTAGAAATTTCAGGACAGGAAATGAACTAGTTTTCTTCTTACATTTGAAAATATTCTTATACATATTACCATGT